GGGCACAGGGCTGTGGGAACCCAAACTGATCATGAATATTTTCATTAAAAGTCTCAAAACCCTCTGAGTTCTATAAAACACAAACTTGTGCTTTTAGCCATCTAATTTAGACAGATTACTTAATACACATTATTTTGTAYCTCGGGTATATTTTTATCTTGAAGACAATGGAAAATAATATCCTAAAAAGAATACAATATTTAGGTTTTTTTCAGGGAATTCTTTTGAATTGAGAAATTGTGGCTAAAGGGCTGATTCAGCGGATGCTCAGAATTTAAGAACAAAATAACTTGGATGACATCTAGTGGGGAAAAAAAGCAATCAGTGGGTGCAGTTCTGGATGGGGAAAACGGCRAAGAGGAGGAAGTTCTTTATTGGAACAGATGGGAGGAGAGAGAATTTCTTGATAAAAAATATAAAAATGGTGGAGTACAATTCAGGAGAAGAATTTTCTAAACGACAAGGCTTTATCAGTCTGAAATAATCTGAGGAAACTGGATTTTTTTATTTGAAAGAGACAAAACTACATCAGGAAAAAWCACGATAAATGTGCAGCAGCAAAGAATAAAAACAGGAAGAAAATCTGAGTCCTGCTGTGTGTAAATGCACTGAAGGCTTTGACAGGCCAGCTCTGCAGAGTGAAGTAAGTACGAGGAATATTTTGGCCCTGGGGCCACAATAGTTCCTGATTTGAGAAAAAACAGTTTTTCTTTAATTCATTTCTGCCAGCAGCATCCCTTGATGCAAGAATGAATCTTGTGATTGATCTTTTTTTTTTTTTCCCTCTTCTTGCTTATTTGTACAATTCATTAACTACCAGTGACTCACRCCCAATTACAAAAATCTATATTAGTTCCTCTGTTCTCCCCAACCTATTTGGGAGTACAAAAGAACAGACTTGATCAGGGTGAGGGATTTGGAATGAGAAGTGCTTTTGCTGCCCATTGACCACGTGAAGTGAGTGGGATTTTTCAGCATTGGAGGTGGAAGTGCTTGAGGGAAGTTCTGCTTTCCTCAGTCAAGAAATGCTCCCCATTTTCCACACGTGCCTTTTATGTTAAATTAAATTGCAATATTCGCTCTGGGAATACCTGTGAGCTGTTCCAGGTGTTCATGGAGGTTC